CAGAGCCCCTTGTGGGTAGGCACACCCGCCGGGCGGGGCTGCTCGACGGGTCGGCATCGGCCAGGCGCTCGCCGTCAGACGGCGAAGACATGGTGCTTAACGGGCTCCACAGTAGTAGGCTGCCACGCTTCACTGAAAATCTGAAGTGTGTAAGACTGTCGCTCACCTGCAGGAGAGGAAGAAAAAGTCACACACCTGCAGGTTTGCGGAAAAGTTGTGTCACACACCCGGCAGGTGTGCGAGAAAATGATCACACCATTGCAGGTGCCTGAATGTATAGAGATCACTACAATGAAAAAGGTAGCCATTTATCCTGCGCCAAGTGTGTGAATGGTTATTCATACATTTGCAGGTGTGCGACATTCGTTCACTTGAATTTCTAGTGTGCATGCCACCACGACATTTAAGAGGTCAGAGGACATGAAAGAGGTCAGTTTTTTTTAACGGAATCATTACAACAAAGAGAGAAGGGGGCAAAGGCCGTACCCATCATGGCCGCTGCTCATTCTGCATTCATTTGCCTTTGCTTCTCTGTTCCGGCGGATGCATTTTTCAGCCCGGCCGGCCGGTACATAGAGGGGCCTATATGGTCCAGCAGCACGCTCATGCTGTGTGGGTCATCCGCCGGCTCGGAAGCCGGGCCGGCTGGATAGCGGCTCTGCAGTGTTTCTTTTTTTTTCTGTCTCTTTTTTTCCAAAATAAAAAGAATAGGGGAGGAATGAGAGAGAGAGGGTTAGAGGAGATGGGGCGATGATGTTACGCTAAGCGAAGCGCGGTCAGCGGCAGCTGGATCATGCGGGGGAGGCCGCACTGCCCTGCCCCACCCCGCCCCGCCCCGCCCGACTCGGTACGCGATGCGAGCAGGCGTCGAGGCGGAGATTCAGCGGGTGGATGGAAGGGGAGGGTTGGGGTGGAGGAGGGTACGGCAGGGAGCGGGAGTCGATAAATTTCTCAGTGGCTGTGCGGCGCTAACCGCCCCCCGAAGTGCCCTCAGGAATGTGTAAAGGGAGTGGCGTGGCGCAGCGTGGCGTGGCGTGCGGGTGCACCCAGGTGAGAGTGAATTTGTCACGGCAAGAGAGAGGCAAGAAAGGGTTGCGCACGTGCCCGTCAGGCTCACAGAGATTTAAATTTTCAGGAAAATCGCAACATTTTTTTTTCTATTAACTATGCAAAACAATGATGATTTTTTTTTTCGATGTTTAGGCACACATGTTCAGCTCTCCCATCTTCAGCATGCTATATCACTGGTAAAAAGTGAAAAGGGCGTAAGTCCAATCTGAAGTCCGAGGACTTACGGCCCCTTGTACTTTTCGTACTGATGCTAACAGACCCGCGGGCCGAAGCCACAGAGAGCAGGCGGCGGCGACGTGGCGTCCGTCAGCCCAATGATAGTTCTGCCGAGCCGAGGTTGCCCAACTTGCTCTGTTTGCCCCTCCGGGGGGGTAGGGGTGGGCGCAGACTTCCACTCCCCGCCCCCGCAGCAGAGCTGACACGCCCCATTGCCCTGCGGTCCTATGTTTGCTACCCCCTTTGCCGGCCTCCCCCTTTCTCCTTCGCTGGTTGTGCTCTGCTCAGCGCAGGGCCTATTTTTTCTCTCTCCCTGGCGCTGCTGTCAGCCGCCACCGCTGCCGCTGCTGCTTGGAGGAGAGGGGCATTCGGGAGACTCCTTTCTCATCGTGTGCTGGGCCCGCCGTACCTGCCTCGCTGTCCCTCTCCCCTTATATCTTCGCCCTGTCCGCACGCTCTCTTCTCTTTTCGGCTACACGCTCTCACCCCCCTCTCATGTCACCCCC